ATGAAAGTTGCAATTATTACACCCATTTTTAAATCAGGAGATGAAAGTCTGGTTACAAATTATCGACCTATATCAGTATTACCTGTTTTTTCAAAAATCCTCAAACGTATCATGTATAAAAGGGTATGTGCATTTTTGTATGATAACAACCTTCTTTATTATAACCAATATGGTTTTGTATCAAACTACTCTACGGAACATGCACTTAAGCAACTTGTTGAAGTTATCAGTGGAGCATCTTTACATAACAATTTCACCTTAGGTATATTCCTAGACTTGTCAAGAGCATTTGACACCGTTAACCATCAGATTTTAAGAGAAAAACTAAAACATAATGTTACGAATACCATAAATGGTTAACCAGTTATATATAAATAAAATCAAAATTGAGCGCTCATTTACTTTATTCAATTTCACATTCAATTTCAAATTACTTGGTATTTTAATAGACGAAAACTTATCTTGGAGAAATCATATTTAACATATTAGCAATAAAATCTCAAGAAGTATTGGCATTTTATATAAAACTAGACAAATCTTCGGCAAATCTACACTAACTCAACTATATTTTGCATTCATAAATAGTTTTTATCTTATGGCAATATTGTTTGGGGTAGTACAAATAAATCTAAACTCGACGGTCTCCTTAAATAACAGAATCATGCAGCACGCATTATTCATTTTAAAATCGCTTTACAAATGCTAAACCTCTTCTAAAAACATAATGAGGACACTTGATATTTATGAACTAAATATTTTCAAAAAATACGCCGAAGGTTTTCGAAAATATTTTCCTCAAAACATTAAACCGATACAACACGCGATCTACCGAAAGATTTAAAAAAATCTTTCCGTACATCAAAACTTACGAGCTTTGCCATTTCCTATCGTGACCTAATGCTATGGAACCATTTTAAAAGCCTGAGTGGTTAGCTTAAGAAGCCAAGACCTCTCAAAAGTTTAAAAAGAACATAATCGAACTTATTACCAATCAAGATTCTTTACATGATTATTTCTAACAATACACTTTTATTTCCAATTTTTATTACTAAAGGTATAAAAATTGGAAATAAAAGTGTATGATAATAAAAGTGTATGATTTTATCTTCTTCAGGTTGTTTACTATTATAAATAATGAAATGTACTTGTCTTTAATATTTTTAAATATTTTGTCGGAAATTACCTTTAACTGTAAATGGTTGCTTGATAAAAATAAAATAAGAAATTATATATATATATATATATATATATATATATATATATATATATATATATATATATATATATATATATATATATATATATATATATATATATATATATATATATATATATATATATATATATATATATATATATATATATATATATATATATATATATATATATGTATATATATATATATATATATATATATATATATATATATATATATAATATATATATTTTTATATATATATATATATATATATATATATATATATATATATATATATATATATATATATATATATATATAATATTTTGAGTAGATACCAATCAAAACAAAAGAATTAGTAATACTAACTACTTATCTTATACAAATAGTTTTAGAATATTTGCGTAAGTTTTTGCGTAAGTTTTGCGTAACTTATGCGCAGCCTTAACTATACGCAAACGCTAGGAAAAAGTTGTGAAAACCAAATAATTATGCAAAAAATAGTTTGCGTAAGCTATTCATAACTTTTGCTCAGCTACGCAAGAGTTACGGAAAAGTTGTGAATAAGTTCCCAGGCCCGAAATCAAATGCCGTCGTAGTGGCTTACGGCTATTCGCCAGAGCTCTGGCATTTCGTCGCACGCCGCTGCGACTTCTTGCAATGATTTACAGTACATAAAAAAGTTGCTTGAATCGGTTGCCAGACTCGCGCCAGTAATGGTCCGTTACTAATATAGTCGCAACGGCGTGCGAACCATCGCACGCCGTTGCGACTATAATAATAGTTGATGAATTTTTACATCAACTATTATTATTCCATTGGGGGCTCGTCAACTTTAATGACGATGCAAATAACGTTTATAATAAATTCTTTGACACTTTCTACTTAGTATACGACGCGTATTTTTATAAAAATATTACTATGATTGAAAGTTCGTTTGAAGACTACTTGTGTTCTACAGATAACTCTCATTATAACAATGAGTATTCATCTGAATTATCCAAGGACAAAAAATAAAATCTCAATAAAAACTTTAAATCTTTAAAAAGAAATAAAGCTATTGGTGCTGATAAAATAAGTAGTAACATAGTTGCAGATCGTTATAAAAGTCTGAAAGATATTTTTTATTAAGTATTTAATGCATCTATAAAACAAGGAGTTTTCCCGGATCAATTGAAAATTGCAGAAATTATAACAATTTACAATTGGTATAACTTCTGCAATGATCATTCGAAGGTTTTCGACACCTTTGACCATAAAATATTGCTTAGAAAGCTCAAACATGCTTAAATGATTTCAAAGTTACTTATCAAATAGAAAGCAATTTGTTACCTCTAACGATGACCTTTAAAGTGAATATGTTAACCTGTGGTGTCCCACAAGGTTCTATTCTAATTCCGCTTATGTTTTTAATTTATATTAATGATTTAAGTATAGCAGCTAATATTAGGAGTATTATGTTTGCTGATGATACAAAGTTCTTATCAAACAGTAATACTGATGAGCTGTTTTTTGATATAAATAAAGAAATTAAATGCGTATCTTATTTGCTTAAATGTAACAAATTTACCTTAAACTTTGATCAAACAAAACTAAACATTCTGTTTTATCCTATATCTAAAAAACGTTTTTTACCAACAACCTTACCAAAAATTCTTATTGATGAATTTGAAATAAAAAAGGAAACTAATTTTCTTGGCATTTATCTTGAGAATGTTTAATGGAAAGCGCATATTGATTACATTTGCACTAAAGTCTCTAAAAATCCAAGAGTCCTATATAAGCCAAGAAATTATATGAACAAAAGCATTTTAATTCAACTTACTCATTTATACATAGTTATATTAACTATGCAAATATTGCTTGGGGAAGTACGAACAAAAGTAAGTTGCATACACTGCAATCATCGTCAGAAACACGCAATGCGCTTAGTTTGTTTTAAAAGTCTTCATTCGAATTCAAAGTATATATTTAAAAATATTAAAGTACTTAATATTTTTGAAGTAAATGTATCAAAAATGTTATGTTTTATGTTTCAACGTAAAATTAATCCTTTGTTATACATTTTTAAAGATTTTCTTATCTTAAAAACAAAAAATATGTAAACACTACGAAATGATGGCAATAATTTTAAAAGTAAGAAATTTATATAAACACGCTCTTTTGTTTTTGTACTTTGTTATTTTTATTTATTCACATATTTATTAATGGCTTAAGTTATATTTTATTATAACCAGTGACGGATCGAGGAGGAGGAGGGAGGGGGGATGGGGAAATGTGGGTATGCATACCTACGCCAGAATTTGAAAGTACTAAAATCTCTTAGAAATTGAGTACCATTTTTTTGTGTTTTTTTTTAGAGATGTGGTACAAAATACAAAAATATTTCAACATTCCCAAACTCCTATAAAAATTCCTAGATCCGTTACATAACGTTTTATGGTTTTGGCGGAAAGATCTTTAGATCTTCTATCAGATACCAAGTTTTTATTTATACTAATCTACTTCTTTCTTTTTTATTATTTTTATTCTTACTGATATGGAGATTATATTCTTTATGATAATTTATTAAAAGTATAAAAATTTAAAACATTTGTAAACGTAAAACTTCATATTAAAAAAAAAAAAGAAAATGTATAACAATAACAATAATAATAATAATAATAATAATAATAATAATAATAATAATAATAATAATAATAATAATAATAATAGTAATAGCAATAATAATAATAATAATAATAATAATAATAATAATAATAATATAATAATAATATATATATATATATATATATATATATATATATATATATATATATATATATATATATATATATATATATATATATATATATATATATATATATATATATATATATATATATATATATATATATATATATAAGCGAAAATGAACTCTAAACTTCCTCAATTTAACCAAAAAAAAAAAACGAGTTTAAAGTTTACAGAAAGAAAGCCATGACTAATATCCAAATTAAACGTCACTCAAATCATGACCCTAAGGTTCTAAACGCAATATTTAAAGGTTACGTTCACATGGCTTATTCTTTATGCAGTAAATTATATTTACAAGATGAGATTAATTTTCTTATTCAAATGTTTAACAAAAATGGGTACAACATATACCAAACCTTAACGGATTGCAAAATTAATTGGAAATAAACGATCTCTAAAAATCAATAAAATTCAATCAGACTCTCTTAACATCCTTACTGTATCGTTGCCGTGGATACCATTGCTATCCTCAAAACTAAGGAAAATATTTCGGAAAGCTGGCTATAGAGTAGTCTTCAAATCAAATCCAGATTTAAAAACATTACTGACGTCAAAAAACAAAACTAAATTACCACAAAATAGTCAACCCGGAACTTATTTGATTGAATGCAAATGCTCATAGAGATACGTAGGCGAAACTAAACTTTAAATTAGGATTCGGACTCAGCAATATCTAAAAAGTTTAAACGAGGGGAAACAGTATCAATCTGCAATAGCCACCCATAATAAGTTTTGCTCACAAGAAATAAAGTGGGAAACGTTAAAACAATTAAAGTTGAAACAAAAAAATTTGAGCGAAAAGTGCGCGAAGCTCTTGAAATACATAGGTTACAATGTTCACCTATACACTATAAATTTATTGTATAATTTTAACGAGCTGATGATGCTGGTAACCATAATCTAGCGAAAATTTCTAATAATAAATTATTAATTGTATCAAGAGAGTTCGTATTAATTGATGTTTTCTGACTAATATAGCATATACTATTTCTGACTAATATAGCATAGTCGGTAGCAAAGTCTAAAAACTAGTATATATTTTTACAAAAATGTGAAAAACACAAACTTGTTCCGAAATCATTGCGAATTAACAGTCCTGTAAATACAAAGAGAGCAGTAAGTATTGTTGTTCGATATAGATTTGAAATTTTGATTTGCATTAAAAACGATGCTAAAAAACGGTTTTTTATGCTTGTTAATGAGACAAAAAATCTCCAAAAAGATCTTAAAGTTATTCTTGATGAAATAGACTACAAAAAAGTTGAACAGGTTACTGAAAAAGCTCGCGAAATAATGTTTGTGAAATCGAAAGAGAGATTATTTACAAAGTTTAAAATTCTTCAAAACGAATTTGAAAATAATCACAGTAATAAAATCTGTAAGTTAACAACCCATACAAAGAACGCTGCTTTAAACTTATGCAATGATGATATTACAAAAAACCAAAATGATCTTCTTAATCTTGGTCCACATTTTGTACCTTCGTTGAAATATATACCTTATATGGATATTATTGCAACAACAGAGACCTCAGCTTTGAAATTGGAATATAGCAACAAGATTGAGGATGCGCAGGATTTGAGAAAAAATGTTTTAAAAGAACTTAAAATGGGTAGAAAAATAAATCATAATTTAACAAGAAAACAAAGAAAAACTCTCATGGAAATTAAGAAAAACAAAATTATTGATATATATCCGTTTGATAAGGGTAATGGTTTTGTAAGAATAGAACACGATAAAGCATGGAAAAAATTCGCGAACAAGTTGGCCCAACAAGAATGGAAGATCCTACATCTAGTAAAGATATAAGAAGTGACGGATCCTACATCTAATTATGCTATTTTTAAACAATTTTTGAGATGATTTAAAGAAGAAAATGAGTAATAATTTGTTAAAACTGAAGATTTGGATAAACTTTTAAAAGGCGAAAATAACTGAGAATTTGAACAACTTTATAACCCGATAAAAAATCCAAACAGAATTCAGGTGATATACATTTTGATTTTATTATTGTTTGCATTTATTGTATATAGTATTATGTACATATATTTTACATCTTTTTGTTATTTTTTATAGATGTAGATTATTTTTTATTTTTTATAGATTTAAGTTGTACAAAAGACTTTTACTGATTTGTGCACTATTTTTAATTTCTATTATATATATATATATATATATATATATATATATATATATTATATATATATATATATATATATATATATATATATATATATATATATATATATATATTAGGGTGTTTCAAAAATAGGTCATGTCTGAAAAAAAAAAAGAGCCCTAGCTTATCATCTGCCCAGACCATGATTTAGTACTAAAAATTTTTTTTTTTTTTTTTTTTTGAAAACTCTAAGGGTTCCTTCAGGGGGTAAAAGGGGCAATTTTTAGGGCATTTCGTACCATTTTTAAAACTGTTTGTAGGAAGTCTTGACATTAATTTTTTTTTTTTTTTAATATATATTTATGTTTGTAAAGACTTATTTAATCCAAATAACATGGGCTCTATTCTCAAAAAAATATTAAAAATTTATAAAAATTGCTTCAAAAAACCCTAAAATTCATAAATATTTAACAAAAAAAAACATTTTTACATTGAACATAGTTTTACATTTTTAAAATGAAGATTTAAATTTTTTCAGTAATTAATATGTTTTCTTGAAATGTATTTTACATTAAATTTTTATTTTTAGATTATATATTCAAAAAATTAATAAAATGACACCAAAAAAAAAAGTTAGAAGTATTAGATTGGATAAAATATTTTTAGTTAAAAAGTTAATCGAAAAACTTCCAGCTAAAAAATTTGCAACTGCTAAAGAGATAGTTCAATATTATCTCTTTCTACGAAAGTCAAAGAGTGAAGCAAAACTGAGGTTCCTCGTAGGTTGTCCGAATAAAAGTTCTTCTTTTATACCTAATTGTCCAGTTGATCAGTCTGACTGCTGCATACTGTCCAAACTAATGGTTCCTTGGATACTTGGTGGATTTAGAGTGCTTACAATACAAAAGTTAAGGTAATCTTTTCAATAAGTTCTAAATCATTTTAGTCCATGTTTAATCCATAATTGTATTATTATATAATATTTTTACAGGATTAAAATTGAGAAATTGTTGAAGGAATGGATGAAATTAAAAGATCAAAGATACAGAACAAATCCTGCTGAAATAAAAAAAAGACATTTATTTGAAGAGCAAATGAGTAAAGTATTTTGGATTGGAAAACATCCTAATGTTATGTTTGAGGAAATATTAAAAGATAAAATGAGAAAATTGAAAGACAAGGAAGAAGATATTGCTTTCTTAAAAGACCAACTGGATGAAAGAAAAGGAAGTCTTGGAGGTAGAGATAAAAGATATGAATATTCTGTAATCAGAAGTAAAAGAAGCACATCAAAGTTCAGTAAAAATCCGTCAGTAGAATTAAATAAGAATGATTCAGATTATCTAAGTTCTGCTAGTTATACTAGCGATGAATTAGGTGAAGAAACAGATATTGACTTTGATTTTAATGAGCATCCTAATGATCAAAATTCTGTTCTGCTTCCTAAAAATATCCTTCAGTCAAACGCTCATACAGCAGTGGGAGAAGGTATAACACCCCATCAACATACAGCATTGATTAGTAGTGTTATTGTTATGTCTGGTGGTTCTGTAGCAAACTTTAATTGTTCTAAATCCACATCTTATAGAGCTGCGGAGAACATAATATCTGCCAGGGCAAAAGAAATAAGAGAATACATAAAAAACATTGTAATATTATCAGATTCACTAATGACTATACACTTTGACGGAAAAATAGTTAATGAACTAACAGAGAGAAAGCAATTTAAAAAAGATAGAATTGCAGTTTTGCTAAGAATTGATAAAAAAACAGAACTACTTGGCATTCCTCCAATAGATTCTAGTTCAGGGGTTAATCAAAAGCAAGCTATAGTGGAATTGATGGAGTATTTTGGATTAAAAGATAAGGTCAAATGTCTCTGTTTCGACACAACTTCAGCAAATACAGGAAGATGGCAAGGTACTTGCATGAAATTAATTCAACAAGTTCAACGTCCATTGTTGTTGATTGCATGTCGACATCATGTAATTGAACGACACATAGCCCATTTCTGGAAGATTTACCCAAGCAGCGAAACTTCTGGTCCAGAAAACAAACTATTTGAAGTTTTAAAACAAAACTGGAACAGTATAGATGCTGAAACTAAGGAACTGAAAAGAATAATAATACCACCTGGAACATGGATATATAATCAAAAATTAGCTGCTGTTCAGTTTTGTAATAATGTGATCAGTTTGAAGATCTTCAAAAAGGTGATATTCTTATTTTTATTAATTTGATTCCTATTCTAACTTTCTAACTTTTAAAAAGTAACATTTATTACTAATTTAAAAGGTATCAAAAACATTTTAGGACAGAAATATAAGAAAAGAATACCACGAGCTAGCTGAACTTACTTTAATGGTTTTATCATCAAATAGATTTAAATTTCATTTACCGGGACCAATTCACCATTCAAGATTTATGGGAAAAGGTTTATACTATTTAAAGTTGTATCTTTTAATGAATGAAATCCAAAACCTAACTGACAAACATAAGGAAGAAATAACTGGTATGGCTTTGTTCATAAGCCTTTTCTATACAGAGTGGTTTCTAAAAGCAGAGTTAAGTTCTTTGGCACCAACACAGGTATACAGCCTTTTAATATTTTATTAATAAGTTAGAAAGCTCAATATTGGTTAAAGTGATTCAAAATGTTAATTAATGTTATTTATTAGGATATAAAAGCTTATTGGCAAATGAAAAGGTTTGAGGAATGGAATCTACTTGGCTCTCGAGCTGTTGCTAACTCTATTCTCAGACATACTTGGTATCTGGATCCAACTTTAGTAGTTTTTGCCCTAGCAAATAAAGAATGTAGGGAACGTGGTGATATGGCCAAAAAACTATATAGTTTACAAAGATGTCCAAGTGAAAGTTTTCCTTTGGAACGCCAGGTAATGGACCAAGCTATATTGAATAGCCTCAACTTCAGTAAAGATGAGCCCCCTAGTTTGACTCCACTAGTAACAGAAAAGTCGTGGCTTGTTTTTGACATGCTTAGGCATGGAAAAGCAGAAACTCAATGGATGAAGACTCCACCAGAAGTTTGGAAATTTAATGATTATTATCTAGAATTTAGAGCAACAGTTAAGGGACTTGATGTTGTTAATGACTGCTCTGAGAGGGCAGTTAAGTTAGTTCAAGACCTAATAAACAGAGCATATTCTGAGGAGAAAAGGCAGGACACATTTCTATTTACAAATAGTTATAAGAAAAACAGAAAAGGCAGGAAAAAAACAGATTACGAAAAAGCCGCAAATAAAGACTAGTTTCATTTTTTTGTTTATAACAATTTTTCAAGAAAGAATAGAGAGGATCATAACTTCACTAGGATTTCTGTATTTTAATATAAAAGAAACTTTACTACTGATTTAAAATCTTTTACAGTTTTATACTTTTAATTTTTTTTAAGTTTGAGAACAAACCGTATGGTTTTAACTGTTGATTACAAAAAATCTTCATTCCCTCTCCAGGCCCTCCCTTTAATATATTTCTCAAAGTAACCCCTGAAACTGATATAAATGAGAAATCAATATAGTACTGTATTAGAAGTAAATAAAAACATAATGTAATTTTTAGGTTTTAAATATAATTTTAAAATATTTTGTACTTTTATAAGCTTTACTAAATATTTATGAATTTTAGGGTTTTTTGAAGCAATTTTTATAAATTTTTAATATTTTTTTGAGAATAGAGCCCATGTTATTTGGATTAAATAAGTCTTTACAAATATAAATATATATTAAAAAAAAAAAAAAATTAATGTCAAGACTTCCTACAAACAGTTTTAAAAATGGTACGAAATGCCCTAAAAATTGCCCCTTTTACCCCCTGAAGGAACCCTTAGAGTTTTCAAAAAAAAAAAAAAAAAAAATTTTAGTACTAAATCATGGTCTGGGCAGATGATAAGCTAGGGCTCTTTTTTTTTTTCAGACATGACCTATTTTTGAAACACCCTAATATATATATATATATATATATATATATATATATATATATATATATATATATATATATATATATATATAAGCATAATTTATAAAAAAGTAATCCACTTAGCAGCGACGTCAGTTGTCGACCATCGGCCAACGAATTTTTCGACGTTGATCCGACGTTTGGCCAACGTCTATGTGCTATATGGGATACGTTAAGAACTATGGTACTGATGTTTAATAAAAAGATATGGAACAGTTCGATAAACACTTGCAAACTGTTAATACATTTGGTTTTGAAGAATCCTGGGACAAGTGGAAAAAGCCTGAAACTAAAACCTATGCAATCATTGAAAAAATTTCAAGGAAGTCTGTAATAGAACTCATCCAACACATATCAGCAATGCGTCATAAGTTCGTTAAACACGCATTTGTAAAGAAAAACCAATCAACAAGTTAAAAACATTAGCCATATTTTCTGATTCAACTGATCATACAAAGTCTTTAGTTATACTGTACATTGACAAAATCCTTCACTTTAATTCTGATCGAATCAAAGAAGTACACGTTTAGCAATATTGCCACTTCTCAGTTCAAAAACAAAATAATTATGACTACAATAGTTGTGTTTGAAAAACATTTTCAGAAAAAATTCTTCTGGCATTTCTTTGCTGCAATGCACGGGAAAGATTGATGGAATTGGAGCTACTGTTAAGCGAATCGCAGCCCTGAGAGTTAAATCTAGTCGAAGCGATCAGGTCAGCAGCAGATTTTGCGTTAGTATTACAAGATTTGCAAATATCTGTAATTCATGTTAGAAAAACGACACAAGACAACAAAAAAATGAACTTGGATTCAGTTCAATTTTAAGTTATTCAAGACGTGTCACATGATAGAGCCGAAAATATTTATCCTCGAAAATATCACCGAAATATTTCAAAATCGAAAATTTTAGAACCGAAAACTTTCATTGCAGGATCAAATTACAAAATCCTTTCTTGCGCCGAAAGTTTTTAAACCGAATTTTACAACCGAAAAAATTTGGATCGAGTTACAAAATCCTTTCTTTTTTTAATCTATTTTTTTTTTTTTTCAGTTAGTCGTTTTACAATAAAATAAACAATTAAAATTTCTTTAAAATATTTATACATATATCTTATACTGCTGAGTTAGGTGAGCATGATGATGTCATACTCACCTAACGTCAAATAGCCTGCTACTGGGGGCTTCAGTACATACATCGACTGACAAATAGCCTGACTCGCAGTGGAGTGCTGCTACATCGACTGAGGGTTTGGTATGAGTCAACAACTTTTTCATTTGTTTTCCCTCATCGTGTTTGATAACAGTGTAACTTTCGGTTGTAAACCATTTTAATGAAATTCGGTTCTAAAATCATTAATGACTTTCGATCGAAAATTCGATCGAAATTTTTTCGGTTCTAATTTTTTTCGTAAATATTTTCGGTTGTGTAATAAATTTATCATATTCGGTTCTAAATTGAAATTAGGGATTCGGTTGAATCATGGACGCCATTCAAGAAAAATCAAGGATATATCAAAATCACATTATTTTTATGTTCAGAATGATAACCCGTACGAAAATTTCCCATGGGAATTTTAGAAAAATAACCCATGGAAAAACCATGGGTATTTGGAACACGTTCCCATGAAAAAACCATGAGTTTTCCATGGAAAAACCATGAGTTTTCATGGGAAACACATGAATTTCCCATGAAAAATCTTTAAGTTTTTCATGGAAAAGTGTTTCAAATACCATGGATATTGATTTTCCATCCATGGAAAAACCATGGAATTTCCATAGGTATTAGGAACACCTTTCCAAGGAAAACTTATGGATTTTTCATGGTAAAAAAGCATGATTTGTTTTCAAGTTTTATTATCTAATGTTATTTGAATTGTCATATTAAATCATAAAAGCAAATTTTATCCCACTATTATTGAGTTCTCTTAATCTATGAGATCGCTTTCTCCAAATAAAATCAATAAACAAAATAAAATTTAAATCTTGTTAAATCCTACAAATCTTTGAAAAATAATAGCTATAATGCACCTAAAACATTAAAACTTGACTTCCCCACAATATTTAATGCATGCATATGTATAACATACTAAAAATAAATAAAACAAAAAATTACAAGTAATATAATACTATAAGTGATATCACTTATAGTATTACTATACATAGTGATAAACAATTGAAATTTATCAAGAAAACAATTTTTACAGAAAATAAAACAATTTACATGTTTATTATTTTATATTAACTATTTGATAAAAATAGTATATATAAATTTGATAATAACTTCAAGTTAAAAAGAACCATCAATACAACATATCTAATTAAAAAAACATCAAGCCCATTTATAAATGCGTCTGAAGTGTATCTGTAGAAATAGGTAGATGTTAAACAAAGTACCATTCACATATTAATATTCATTTTTTTTCACCCTAGTTAGTCTCATTCTCCCTTTCACCAATCTAGACAATACATCATACAACTATTATATACAATCTAACTAGTTTTCTTTATTTACTAATTCATTTTACTTATAATTATTATCTATTATAACTTACTTTATAATTAGGCATTATACACAATTATGAATGTTGCCAAATGTTAGGTAACATTTATATAGAAAAAAGTAGCAATGAATATATCATTATTTATAAATACAAATTATTAGATTGTTACCTCTTTTTTGCCTAAGCTATCTGCATTATGTACAACATCGTTTATATTTCCAGTCAAACATTCCTGCCTATAATGTAACTTTATTAAAATGATTTATTCAAACTAATACATATATAAATGTTACCTGCATGTTAGAAACATTTATATAGAACAAGGCAGCAACAAATATTATATTATACATTTACTTTTGTAATTAAAAAAAAACTTACTTCTTCTTCTGAGCTACCTGCATGATGTACAACATCATTTACAAACCTGTTTTCTTCACGTCCTTCCATTTTTTAATATATTATAAAGCACAGGACTTGTTAATGAATGGCTAAATAAATAAATTAAAAATTTATATTTAAATGAAATGATAAGGTTAAATGAAAAGATTTATACACATATATAAATTTTACCTGCATGTTAGTAACAATTTATATAGAATAAGGCAGCAACAAATATAGTATAACTTATAAACTGTAATTTTAAGTAAAAACTTACTTCTTTGTCTGAGCTGTCTGCATGATGTACAACATTATTTATATTGTCAGTCAAACTTACCTGCTTATAATGCAGTAATTTAAATAAAATGATAAAGTTAAAATAAAAGAACTTACGCACATACCATTAAATTCAAAAATTTATTATATTTTTACTTCACTATTTAAAACATAACAAATATGTAATTTATAAAGTATAGTAATGTAAAAGCATAGTAAATATCAAAGTGTGTGCATAAATTAATTTATTTTAACTAAAGACAAGCACTTTACATCAGTTAAATATAAACAAATAAAAATAATTGTATTATAATAAATAATAGTGTATTATTTATAAACATTGCTTTTATATGCTTATATTTAACTATGAAGTAAAATCTTGTGCATTAAGTAAATTCCCTTACTGATACTTATAAAATATTACCACAGTTTTCCTTCTCCAACTAAGTGGTTCTTGGAACATCCTTACAAGTTGAATCCCAAAGATTACGTTTATATCTTTTCTGGTTTAAACTCAATTCACCATTTTATTTTGACAGCTTTTGAACTATTTTTAAAAATATTAAATGCATATAAAAACTGACAATGTTATAAACAATATAAACGATGAACAACATTATTTATATTGACAGTCAAACCTGTTGGCTTATAATGTAGTAATTTAAATAAAATAATAAAGTAAATATAAAAGAATTTATAAACATTATTTATATTACATTATTTACATATTCTAATAATTCTAAAGAAAAAACAACAACAAAAAGACAAAAACAACTTAACAGAACTAAAATTGAATAGAACATTTATCATAAAAAAATGTTTTTTAATACTTAATGAACATTTACGATACAATAAACTTCAAGCATTTTTATGTAATCTAAGGCTATTATAAAAAAAAATAAAAAAGATCATACTAGTTATCTTTTGTACATTAGTTATCTAATCTTATTATCTTAGTTATCTAATCTTATCTAATATACTGCTTGTATATTAATATTTTAGATAAGTTTCTTTAATATGTTCGATAAGTTTTATAATAATAATTATACTAGTTTGAATGTACATTAAATTACACTATGTACATTAATACACTAGTTATTTAATGTAGATTAAAACTAAACATTTATTTGTTGTAAACCAAATAATAATTATTTGGCAAATAATTTGCCAAGTAGGCATTAAAACTCAAACTGGTTTACTTGACATACTTGCTATACTATTGCAAGTTATGCAAAGTAAGCAAAGCTACTGGAAACAGTTAAAATAAGTATATGCATAAATGATATATAATTAAATATAATTAAAAATAATCCATTTTATAATGCATTATAATATGATAAATATATCTAGTTGTTTATGTCTGTATGTTTAGTTTAAATCATATAAATGTAATGCATTATAAAAAACATATAATTCATAGTCTTATTAAACACAGAAAAACAGAAGAATGCAGTAAGTATTATTTTCTAAAGTTAAAAATAATCATAACTCTACGAGCTATGACGCCATCTTTAAAAGCGCATTTGTAACAACCATGGCGCAGCTCAAGCTATGAAAAAAAAAACATGGTTCACCCATGGAAATTCCATGGGATTTCAATTTTCATGAAATTTACCCATGGAAATTCCATGGAATTCCCGTTTTCCATGGGAAAACCATGGTTTACTCATGGAATTCCATGGGTTTTCCATGGAATATTTCCGTAAGGGAACGTTGTTCCGATTAGAGATCGCCGGTTACAGTATACGGTATACTAACTTTACGGTATACTTTACCGTATAGTTGGTATACTAAAAACTACTATACCAATTAGTATACCTGTTATTGATGAAATATTTTTTAAATGATTTTATAATTCAATAATGATATTATCTTAATTGATTAAATAATTGTATTATATGTATTACGCGATTACTTTTTTAGATAAATAATACAATAATTATTAATAATAAATATAGTATTATTTATAGTAGTATTAAAAGAATTATCATTTATTAAAGTGTTGTTTTTTTGTAATTTAACTTTTGAAAGGTTTTTGAATTTATTTATTTAAATTTTAATTGTTTTTTGTTCTTTTTTATTTGTTTATTGTATGTATAAAAGTAACATGTTTACTCTTACCTTGAAGTAAAATATTTAATGTCAGAACAAATTTACCAACATATCTCTTTTTTTGGAAAAGGTTCAACAAGAAAAATTTATTGCAAATATTGTGATAAACAAATTACAGCAAAATCAACATTAAGATGGGAGCAGCATTTGAGAGGATGTAGAAAAACGTCTGATGAGGTTAAGTTGTGTTTTAAAAAAATAAAAAAAGAAGTTCAGAGTGTTATAGTTGAAACAAAAGGATATGATAATATGGCTTCACAAACCTCTGAAAATTTAGTTTTCAAAGAATCTGGGCAGCCTGCTAAAAGAACTATGCTAAATTCATACTTTGACACTATAAGCAAAGATGACATTGATAAGATAGATAAATCATATGCAAGGACATTTTTCCATACAGGAGTACCTTTTGCATTAGCTGATTCTTCTGCATGGAAGCAACATCATGCTAATCTTAGACCTGCATATAAACCTCCATCTAGTAAATGTATAAGTGGGCGTCTTTATAAAGATGCTTTAAATGATGAAAAACATGCAATAAAAAAATATGTTGATAGTTCTGAATACGTTAGTATAGTGACTGATGGATTTTCAAACATTAATGTGAATCATCTTGTTAGTTATTCAATTCATGTTGAAAATAAGACTATGAAACCTATTGCTTACAAAATTGAGCCTACTGGTCAAGAACAGCAAACTGGCATTAATATTGCAAAACGCATAGAAAATGTAATTCTTGAAATAGGTGTTGATAAAGTTACAAGCATTGTTACTGATAACGCATCAAACATGAGAGCTGCATGGGAAATTATTGAAAAAAAATATCCAAAAATATTTTGTAATGGTTGTGCTGCCCATACAATAAATCTTTTAGTAAAAGATATTTGCCTTCTTCCTGAGTTTGTGGATATTTTACAAAAGTCTGGAAAACTGACAGCCTTTGTTAAACAAAGAACATCACTTATCGATCAATTTCGTATAATTCAAAATCGTGTTAAACAAGAAAATAATTTGAAGAAAATGCGAGCATTATCACATGTAGTTTTAACACGGTGGTATAGCCATCATACATCTGTTGCCCGTAATCTTGAAAACAAACTAGTTCATTTGAATTTAATTAACTCTGGTGCCTTCTCACGTGTATCTATATCAAAAAAAAAAATCAGATTATGTAAACATTGTACAAGACAATTTTTTTTGGGAAGAATGTCAACGTTTTATTAATGTTATGAAACCATTATCAAAATTAGTAGGTAAACTGGAATCCGATAGTTGTCTACTTTCTGAAGTTTATATAGGGTTTGTTAACTTAATGGAAATATGGAAGGAAGACGCAGTATTGAAAACTCTTGTTTTAAGCAGATGGGAATTTATTCACACGCCATCTATGGGATTTGCATACTTTCTTGATCCACGAAATCATGGTGGCAGAAATATGTATACTGAGTCTCCTTCATCTAGCAAAAGTGATCTTGTTATAGTACTTGAGTTGCTTCCAAAGTACATAGTTGAAACAAGAGGACTTTGCAATTATGAAATTTCAAAAAAAGAAATAAAATCATTTCAGAGGCTATGTGCAAATCCGACTCCAGATTTTGCAACTCAGATTAAATTAATGGATCCTGATATCTGGTGGGGAGTTGAGGGTGCAAGTAAATTTCCAAATTTAGCAAAGGTTGCACAAATAGTCTTTACTATTCCAACTTCTCAAGCTGCAAGTGAGCGAATATGGAGTTTGTATGATTTTATTCATTCAAAGCGAAGAAACCGACTTGCAAAAGATAAAGCAATTGGATTGGTTCTTATGTATGCAAATGCAACACTCCACGAAAAAGAAGCAAATATTGCTGATATAATGCTTGGCAATACTAGTGATCACGATGAGAGTGATGAGAGTGATGAGGATGGTGTTAATGTTGATTTCACTTTAGAGACTTCAGTTGATACAAGTGATTTATTGTCACAGTTGGCTAATTAAATGCTTTATTTAATTACTAAGAAGTTTTAAAAATCTTTATATTACATCGACAAATCTTTAGATCATCGAAAAATATTAGTCAAATTTTGTTTAAATGAAAATAAAAATGTTTTTGTTTACTTTAGTATTTATTTATTCTTCCACCTGATTATGTTAATTTTGCTG